TCAGGTCATGATCTCACAGCTCATGAATTCGAGCCCCACGTCAGGCTCTGCTGACAGCTCGGAGCCTGGAGCCTGCTTCAGATTCTGTGTCTCCCTCTCTCTCTGCCCCTAACCCACTCACATTCTGTCTCTGTCCCTCTCAAAAATAAATAAACATTAAAAATAAATAAACATTAAAAATTTTTAAAAATAAAATAAATAAAAGAGAGCAGAGGAATGGGGGTGCCTGGTTGGCTCAGTTGGTTAGGCATCCAACTCTTGATTTCGGCTCAGGTCAGTTATGACATCAAGCCCCGCATCTACGCTGACAGCATGGAGTGTGCTTGGTATTCTCTCTCTTCTCTCTCTGCATTTCCCCCACTCTTTCTTGTGTGCATACGTGCACTCTCTAGATAGATAGATAGATAGATAGATAGATAGATAGATAGATAGATAAAGAGAGCAGAGGGGATGGAAGAGACCAGGTTATCATCTGATAATTCAAGTAAAAGAGAACAATATTTGAATAAAACTGGTGATGATAAAAAAACAGACAAGAGACAGACTCCAGAGATAGGAAGCAAAATACACAAAACTCAGCATTGAATTGGATATGAAGGAATGATATGAAGAGTCAACCATGTTTCTTAGATGTCTGGCGCACAAAACCGGATAGATGATGAGGTCAATCTCAAAGGTAACAAGCAAAGCTAAAAGCAACAGACTGGCTGGTGGGAGCTGGGGTTTGGTTTTAGACACGTCAAATGTGAGGTGACAAAACGAGCTTTCAACTAGCAGATGTATAAGTTTTGTAAGAAAGACTGGTTTGTGATGTAGGTGATTAGGTTGATGGTATGATTAACTAAAACGGACAACACAGATTTTTTTTTTTAATTTTTTTTTTAACGTTTATTTATTTTTGAGACAGGGAGAGACAGCATGAACGGGGGAGGGTCAGAGAGAGAGGGAGACACAGAATCTGAAACAGGCTCCAGGCTCTGAGCTGTCAGCACAGAGCCTGACGCAGGGCTCGAACTCACGGACCACGAGATCATGACCTGAGCCGAAGTCGGATGCTTAACCGACTGAGCCACCCAAGCACCCCAACACAGATTTTTGTAGAAGAGATTAAATATTTAGGTTGGGACATATTAGAAATGAGCTGCTTATAAGACATCAAAGCCCAAAGCTCTGGAGAACAGTTTGAATTAGAAACAAAGATTCAGGGAGCCCCTGGCTGGCTCAGTTGGTAGAGCATGGGACTCTTGATCTCAGGGGGTCATGAGTTCAAGCCCCACTCTGGGCATAAAGCTTACTTAAAGAAAATGTTCAAAATAAACAAAAAATAAACAGAAACAAAGATTCAGGGTCCATGAGTATAAAAACAAAGTAGAAGCCACAGGCATGAATGAGAGCTTCCAGGGAAACTACCTGTGCATCTCCAGTACCTAGTAGAGTACAGCACAGACCAGGAAAGAAGAGGAAAACAAAGGAAGGAAGAAGGAAGGGAAGATGAATGAGGAAGAAGGAAAAAAAAAAAAAGGATCAAGGGAATAATCCCAAAGAATACCAATATATAAGCACCATGCAAAAGAGAAGCCCACCAAGGAGACCATGAGGGTACAAGTGCTAATGCAGAATTAGGAGACAGTGTTGTCAAATAAATTCTGGGATGTGAGCATTTCACATACAAAAAAGAGGGGCCAACCATGAGAAATATGGAAAATTTAAGTAAGATTTTTGTGGAAAATTTAAATAGTAGGCTTGGCAATTATATCAGTATCAAAACAATACTGGTAACAATACATGAATGAACAGCCCCATACACTACAGAAATATAAATCATTTCAGCTCTTTGAAAAAGTAAAATGGCAAAAGCTGTCAAAATTAAAAACAGATACACTCTTTTACTCAACAATTGTACTTTCAGGAATCTATCCCTAGAAATAAGAGCACCAGTATATAAGGATATACATACAGGATGTTTATTATAACACTGTTTATGGAGGGGGGATGAGCAGAGTCTAGAACCAATCTGAATGTTCAAAAATAAATGGTTAAATAAATCATGGTACATTCGTATTATGAAATATTAAAATAGCTGCTTAGGGGCTCCTGGGTGGTTTAGTCGGTTAAGCGTCTGACTCTTGGTTTCAGCTCAAGTCATGACCTCACGGTTTGTAAGTTCGAGCCCCGCATCGTGCTCTGTGCTGACAGCATGGAGCCTGCTGGGGATCCTCTGTCTCCCTCAACCCCTACACCTCCCCTGCTCACTCGCTCTCTCAAAATAAATAAACATTTTTTTTAAATAAAAAAATCATATTAAAAAAAAAAGTACACAGGAAGTAAACACAGGAGTGTAGACTGCTCTTTTCAAGGAGTCTAGCAATAAAGGGGAAGCTGTAGGACAGAATTTAAGGAGGATACAGGACCACAATAAAGCACATTTCCTTTTAAGAATGAAAAACTGCCTCACAACACAATATCAACGAGTATAGGTGGAAAAGGAGAGGATGGAAATATATACAGATGAATGATTAGGAGGCAGGTCTCAGAGAAAACAGAAATGGATGCACTCTACTTCAGAACATTCCCCAATTCCTATTACAATAAATATAATCATCCCAAAAGTATACTTTCATTAAAATCCTAGAAGAAATCTTACAATTTAACTTACTATAGATCACTGGGCAACTTCCAAAATATCTTATAAAAAGATTTACATCCAAGGCAGCACTAGAAAGAATAAGTTTCAAAGTTGGGTGCTTTTGCAACAGATCTCTTAACTTTGTAAGTAAAAAATCACTAAATCGATCCCTTTCATGTACTTCGTCCTGCAGTAAACAAAAAATAAAACCATGGAATAGTTAAAACATTATGGATGACTAAGCCTTTAAAATTATGGGGCTGCTGGGTTTTATAGTAATTCAAATTAAATGTGAACAAGGCCAATTGGTACTCGTGAAAGTGTTGTATTATAGACAATTCAGAAATAATCAGACATTAACAACCAACTGAAACAAAGCACTGCCTCTTAATATAAAAGACATACAAACTACAACAAATTCGGAATTAGTGGAGTCTAATTTAACATACTTTTGATAAATATAGAATCTACTTAAACATGCTTCAATTAGCATCAGGGTACAGGTGCGCCCTTTGGTTTGAATGAACAAAACCAATAAGTTTTCTAAAGCTGCTTATTGCAAGCTTCTAAAACTTAATCTAATTGTTTTCTGACACAAACTGGATAAAAGCTTACAACTTTTTAATAAGGTGGTAATTCATCTACTTCATCAACATCTACTTAATTTAGCAGCTTAACTATGAAGTTAAATGACTATAAAGCGAAGACTGGGAAATACATATTAGCCAAAGGTGGAATCAGATGACTAAGCAGAGAGAGAAAAAAAAGAAAATTTTCACCCCATTCTGAGGAACGCTAAGTAGTTGTATCATTTTCACATATAAAAAGCACTTTTTGAAAATCTACCTATACATTTAATTTGCCCTCATAAAACCTAATGGTAAGAATTCTTTACTTAATACAAGTAAAATTTATTTCTAATAATTACAGGCAATAAAAAGTAACTTCATTATAATACCTGTTCAAAAAAAAAACTGGCTTTCACCCCTATTCTATTCTAAAAATATAATTAATTACATATTCAAATTTTTAAGCAATCTGAGTTGTATACGGCAAAACTCAGCAATATTCTTACCACAATAACATGTGTCACAGTCGACAATGTACTATCTCCCGCCATCAATGTACGAAGCAATACCCCATTAGTGCAAAATGTCAGAAGTGTCTTTGGAGAAACCCTTTTTAAAAAAAAAAAACAAAAATAAAGCATACAATTACAACTCTTAAATGTAATTAAAACATGATTACATTAAATGCTAATCTCATATGTAAGTTTTATAAATGTTAAAGTTACTAATATAGCATAGCAGTTTGTATGCTTTATTAGCCAAGTTATTAAAATATGTATTTTATACCTGACGAACTCACAAAATTTTTATTACTAACAGGCTTTTATTAATCATTTTAAGAAACCATTAAATAGATTTTTTTTTTTTTTTAAAAACCTTAAGGAGGCAAAATAACTTGTATTCGATCATAAATCCCCCTATGAAATGGGATTTGTATCCATGGCCCGAACTCTTTCTTCAACTATGTATTCAAAACCTTATGAAGTTCAGACATGACCTCAACATCCTATCAAAGACTTACTTGGAGCAAAATGATCACCTAACTTTTTGACTAACATAGTCCCTATTTAATGAAATATAAACATTAATCTTTTCTAAGAATGCTAGGCTACAGGAGAACCATGGTTACCTGCTTTCTAATCGGATCTGATATCCAATCGTTTGACCAATCCTTTCTCTTCTCTCTGCAGCAACTCTTTCAGCCACAGCAATAGCTGCTAACCTTCTTGGCTGGGTACAAAATATACGGCAGGGGATACCATTTTTAAAGCAATCATCTAAAAGGAACTGAGGAATCTGAAATGAAAGTTTTAAAGTACTATAAAATGACATGACTATATACCCAGAAAGTCCAAGTCAATCACAACTGAAAAACTACTAGAATTAGGAAAGTTTGGTAACGTGTCCAAATAATCATAAAATCAACAACTTTTCTGTAACTTCTAACAATCAGCTAGAAAATGTAATTTTCAAAGATCTGATTCACAAGAGAAACTAAAATGAAAATACTAAAAACAAATTCATACAGGGGCACTCAGCTGGTTAAGCATCTGACTCTTGGTTTCAGTTCAGGTCATGATCTCACAGTACCTAGGATCGAGCCCCACCTCAGGCTCTTGTGCTGACAGCAAGGCGCCTGCTTGGGATTCTATCTCTATCTCTGCCTCTCCCCTGCTCACTCTCTCAAATAAATAAATAAACTTTAAAAAAAAATTTTGTAAAAAAAACCAAATTCACAGAGAAATAAAGCTTGCACAAATACAAATTCCACAAATATAAAATACAACTAAAAAACACTAACTGAATAAAGAAATAGGACACAATCTTGAGTAGAAATAATCAATACTTCAAAAATGTCAATTCTATCCAAATTATTCTATAAAGCCAACGAAACAACAATCAAAATTCCACTGGAATTTTTTTAAATAGTGAAAAGCATAAAGAAAGCAAAAATAGCCTAATACTGGGATGTACATGTCAGAAGGACTTAAAAAGTAAGTCTTTCTTGCCGTACCACTACCAGTATTCTCCAAAAAAGTAACTACTATTGGGGCGCCTGGGTGGTTCAGTCAGTTAAGCATCTGACTTTGGCTCTGGTCATGATCTCACATTTTGTAAGTTCAAGTCCCGCATCAGGCTCTGTACTGACAACTCAGAGCCTGAAGCCTACTTCAGATTCTGTGTCTCCCTCTCTCTCTGCCCCTTCCCCACTCACGTTCTCTCTCTCCCTCCCTCTCTCTCTTTCAAAAATAACTATTTTTAAAAAATAACTATTACTTCTTATGAACTGTTTCAGGGAAAAAATGTTTACACAATTTAGGATATTTGTGTATATTAACAGGCTTTTATTCACACAAAGCGATTACCGTACTTAATGTTTATAAAATTTGCAGATTTCACTTAATACTCAGATCTACCTAATCCATTCTAATAGCTGCATATTCCATCCTAGGGATGTGCTATAATTTAACAAATATCATGTTAAATAATTTCTAGTTTTTTTAAGTTACTGATATTACTGCTTGCTATTATAAAAATTGCTGCAGTGAATATCTTCACAAACTTTTATAAAGATATATATGCAGGGGCACCTAGATGGCTCAGTCGGTTAAGTGTCCGACTTTGGCTAAGGTCATGATCTCATGATTTGTGGCTCAAGCTCCACACTGGGCTCTGTGCTGACAGTTCGGAGCCCGGAGCCTCGAGCCTGGAGCCTGCTTTGGATTCTGTGTCTGTCTGTCTGTCTGTCTCTCTCTATCTCTCTGCCCCTCCCCTGCTCATGCTCTCTCTCTCTCTCAAAAATGAATAAATATTAAAAAAAAAAAAGGTGTGTGTACACACACACACACACACACACACACACACACACACAGGTCAAATGAAAGAGCATGTAAATGTTTTTTAAAATTTTTTTTTTTTTTCAACGTTTATTTATTTTTGGGACAGAGAGAGACAGAGCATGAACGGGGGAGGGGCAGAGAGAGAGGGAGACACAGAATCGGAAACAGGCTCCAGGCTCTGAGCCATCAGTCCAGAGCCTGACGCGGGGCTCGAACTCACGGACCGCGAGATCGTGACCTGGCTGAAGCCGGACGCTCAACCGACTGCGCCACCCAGGCGCCCCAAGAGCATGTAAATGTTTTAAGGTGGGTTTTGTTTGTTTGTTTGTTTGTTTTAGAGAGAACAGGGAAGAGGGGCAGAGGGAGAGAGAGAGAGACCCAAGCTGACTCCATGCTCAGCACAGAGCCCAACACAGGGCTAGATCCCACGACCCCAGGATTATTACCTGAGCTGAAATCAAGAGTCAGATACTAAACCAACTGAGCCACCCAGCCACCCCAAGAGTATGTAAATTTAAATTGGAGAGAAGTAGTATCAAATCGCCCTCCAAAACAATTTATACTCCTGCCCATAAAGCAGAAGATGCTGCTTTCCCAACACCTATGCAAATACGTATCGTTAATGTTTTAGTTTCTGCCCCTCTGATAGTTGAAAAATATAATCATTGTTTTGATTTCATTTAACTGTAAGTGAGAGAGAGAGAGCATCATTTCATGCATGTTTCAGCCTCTAGGATTTGTTTTAAACTTGACTAGTTTATACAGAAGCAGAAATGAACACAAATAGGAAATATTTAAGGAAATAATTTTCTCTTAGGAAATATTTAAGAAGAGAAGATAATAAACTGGAATATTATGCTACATACTGTAAAACGACAAAAAGCAAAAAAGAGGGATCCTGGTGCAAAAATAATTAAAGACAGATAACAAAAATTCCAGAAATAGACCCAAGTACTATAGAAACTTCGTTTGATCAAAAGGGCTACCTTAAGTGAAGGGGGAAAAGATAATTAAATAAAAATTATATAGGAACTAGATATTAACATGAAGAAAACTGTAAGATGGATTCCTACCTGACATGATATTATAAATTCCAGGTGGATTTTTAAAACTATAAATACAAAAATACTAGAATAAAGTATTTATAGGAAAATGTTTTTTAATCTTGGGATAGGAAATGCCTTTCTCAGCATGGCTCAAAGCCCTAAAAAAAAGATTGACAGATGTGACTAAATAATTAGTAAAGCTAATACACAAGATACCACAAAGCAAAGCTACAGAGCAAACAAAACACTGAGAGAAATCATTTTTAGGATATCTAACAGATAACAGGCATGTAGGCATAATATTTAAAACACCACTAAATACCTTTCTGGTTATAAACACGGTCTTCTCTACCTCACCTGAAAACCCAGACTCAGGAGGCCTCAATCCCTGCCTCCCTATTCCCAGAAGAGCCAAAGCTAACTATGTAGGAGGCTTTTTCAGAGGATAAGACGACTTTGTCTTCCCAGAAGATAAACCCTCTACTTTCCTTTATGAGGCAGATAGCAACCCCAAACCACAGACAGGTTGGGACCTGCGCAGGCCTCAACGTCTACAGTCAACTTTATATTAACGTTTGGTATTATTAATATTGCTGTTAGTTTAACTCCTATGCACAAAACACTGACAGGCACTTTATAGACCTCTCTAAACGTCATGGTGAACGGGAGCAAGTATTAGCTCCATTTTACAAATGAGGGCTCCGGCTCACAGAGGTTAACAAGACTAGCCCAGTCCATATTCCTTTCATGATGCCAAACCACATCCCCACTTCTATTTAAATGGAGGCCCAAGGTGCTAGTTTAAAAATATTTTAAAACATTTCCTTTCTACCAATTCTCAAAACATACTCCCAGTAACAATTTATTTTTGAAATAAACATTAAAGTACCCAAAAGGGGTTGTTTTTGTTAAAATACATGTAGTATAAATTTGTTATAAAACTGCCATGTGGAAAAAAATATTTTTTCTTCCATAAACAACAAAGAAGAAACCAACCTGTGTAGTCTTTCCAGACCCAGTTTCTCCTACGATCAAAACTACTTTATTTTCTTTAATTATTTTAACAATTTCTTCTTGTTTCTCAAACACTGGCAGAGACTGCCTGAAAGAATCAAATTCAGATTCTCCTCTTTTCACTGGAATCTGAGGTATGCCATTGTTGAGTCGCCCACTCGTTTTGCTCATTTCCCGGTTTTCTTTGAATAAGAAACAAAAACATTTATGATCAACATTTTTTAAAAAGCGTTAAACACAAAGATAAGTAATTTCTCTATTCAGTCTGTATAAAGTTAGCAAGCAATGGCTTAGTGTTGCACTCTATGCTTAATATTCTTTAAAAAATAAGTTATAAATTTCAATAGTAATTAGAAAGCAAATTGCTAAAAGTGTTTCTCGTGCATAACATTTACAAACAAACAAAAATCAATCACTCCATACCCATTAAAAATAAAACGTGATTCTGATATCCTAAAACAGTTTTCAGGCTTGCTTCTATCAATAATTAGACACAAAAAATTAAAATTTTGTAAGTAGGTAACAATGTGCATTATTTATAAAGTCTGTTATGTACAATATGAAAACACGTTATGAAAAGAAAAATATTCTCTGTTTAAAGCTAACTATGTAAGATTATGTGAACAGATAGAATGATATGTGTAAACATAAAGTCCTAATGCTTAACAAATTTCCTAATTGAGAATTTTTGCAAACAGCTACATTTTATTAATAAGACAAGAATAAAAAAGCATAATGTTTTATACTCTTCACATAATTCAAAACATTTTTGTGTGCGTGTATTTAAAACTTAATTCCCTCGCTATCTAAGACCATGTGTTTGCTACACTCTGCAAACCTACTCCAACAGACGATGGAAATTATGAAATCTGTTGCTTTAGGTTATTAATGGTTTTCTCACTAGAAGTTATTTTTCCAAATAATAAAATTACAGCTTCATTCTATAACCTAAATGTATCACATATCTAGCTTTCAGCAAGTTCGTGTAATGAAGACTCTGTCCTCTTACCAGAAGCTAAAGCCCCAGTTCAAAATCACACTCATTAGCGTGCCTCGGCAACATTAATACAGCAAAGTCCAGACCTTGAAGCCAAATCCCAGCTCTGCCGTTTATGGGCTGGTTGAGTAGCCTTGAACAAATTATTTAACTGCTCTGCACCCCAGTCTACTCACCCTTGAAATAGAGGAAATTCTTACCTTGGGAGGGTTGCTATGAGGCCCTCTATAAAGAGTTTAGTATCCTGCCTAGCACACAATAAGTGCTCCAAAAATGATAGCTATTACGGTGACACTTAAAGATTTGTCTAACTTCATGACATGCCTTAACACTGCATTTCATTCCCAAATTTTCACAGTTCTTTATCATTTCTAACAGACTATTCAAACTGAGAAATCTTACTGCATCTTAGTGTTTTTTTTAATTAATTTAAAATGGAAAAAGAACAGTCATCAATTAATAGGATAAACAAGGAAGCTTCCCCAGAAAATACATACCAGCTTCAACTGCAAACACATTTCCTCTTTCTGTTTTAGGCAGAAGTTCAGTACGCTCTTTATTGGTGACAGGAAATCTTTGAATTAGGCTCCTAACAGCATGTTTTGTATTATGAGTCAAATTACAGGTCATCATTGCATGAGCTGTTTCTGATCCATCTTTCTTCTTCACAGTTAGGTATCTATTTGCTCCCTTTCTGAATATTAATAAAAATCATTTATTTACTATATATAGTCAATTGGTTCACATATGATGTATGCCTACTTAGGCAACACGTCTTAAGCAAAACATTGGAAAAAATCAAAATGCTTTGTGAGAAGATGCTGAAAATCCCCAAAAATTCAATAAGGAGGGGTTTGGTGCTGAAGTGGCCAAAAGACCATTTTCAATTAAAGTTTCAAAATGCTACCAATCCAGTTTTTAAACTGCAAAAAATGGCTTACTTACCCACAAATGTTAAAGTTTAGTCTTAGCAGACTTCATGGTGGATGAAACATCACCAGTTAATATATGCTGGAAGCATACAGAGGGAGAAAACCAATCTGTTGAACAACAGAATCTAAAAATGATCATTAAAAAGTTATGGTTCACTGTACAGACTAATATATCCCACTGAACGTTTCCATAGTATGCTGGTAATGTCACATCCCATGAAAACCTGTTAAAAGAACCAAGCTTAGTGGTTGGACCAAAAAAGCATAAATCAACATTACTGATAAATATTTTTATATGCATACGGGGAGAAAAAAACAAATTTTTCAAAGCTTCTGGCTCTAGCCTTCAGTTATAAGGTAATGGTGATTTATAACAGTTCTCAAATGATTTGATGGAGGTATATTTATTTCTTCAACTGATCCAGACTAACAATGTCTTTTTTGACTTTTGTAGCTTCTAGAGTACTAGGTATAATGTTAGACACACAGGAAGTCCTCAAACGTGTTTTGAACGATTTAATAATGCATGTCTATAATCCAGTACAATATAGTACTAGAAAAGAGCGCAAGCTCTAAAAGCATACCAACCTGGGTTTGAATCCTAGCTCTACCACTTAGTAGCTGTTGGGACCATAAGCAAATTATTTAACAGCTCTGAGCCTACGATAATAATAATACCTGCCTCAAATGATTATTCATATGATTAAATAAGATAATTCATGTTAAGGGAAAACATCTGTTAATGTTTGAGTAAGTTGAGCAGAATAAGCATTAAATGAATTAAAGCTGTTATTATAATTTTAGTCTGGGAAAAAAAATCACTTATTTTTAAAAAGTTACCCAAAATACTTCATAAAAGGTTCTATCATTTGTTAATGTCACTATTATATTACAGAAATGAGCAACAAAGCCACAAATACAATGGTAAGTATATGTACAATTTTTCTAATTTTCATTAGATTTAAAATTTTCAACAAAATCTTCACCGTAAAAATAACATAAAACTGGAGATTAACCTATACAGTTTTGGCTAAGACTTCTTAAGTGAGGCTTTTGATTTACCAAGGTTTTTAATTTCTGGAAACGTTTTATGGAATGCTTTAATGGATTATAAGCTTTCAGTGCTGTCATCTGCTTTTTAAAAAAGTGTTTAGTCATCTTGAAATTATGGGATAAAAATGAAGTAACTAAATTTAACCTGATCTAGGAATTTCAGCTATTTCCATGGTAAATGACAATTGCTGGATTCTAAAAGATGATCTCTGTAGTAGGTTCTTTTCTATGGACCTTTCTGAAAATTCAGCACAGTCGTTATAGACTTAATCATCCATTCCCCATTTACTTCATAAAAATGTTAACTACAGAGGGCTGGAAGTGTGCTGGAATGATCACTAGAGCAAGACTCGGTAGGCTTGTGTTCAGCTAGTAAAAAATCTTTCAACTAACTAGCTGTGTGATCAAAAACCATTTTATCTCTCTGACACTGTATACAACTTAATTCAAAAATCTCTACTATTTCTGCCAGTTCCAAGATGCTTTAATTTTCTTGGAAGTTGTCTTGGGAAAGCTATGCTATATTTCACCTGTAACTAATTTTATTCCATTCATTCAATCAATCATTAATCATATATTAAGCCCCTATTCTATGCCAGGCGCTATGCAAGAAGCCGGGATTACAGTTAAGTAAAACATACTCTCCTCAATAAGCTCACAACTAAAATCAGTCAGATTCAAACTTTCCTAACAGAGCCTGCCTACTAAGAATACATCATTTATGTACAAAAATAACCCAAACTAAGCATGTGTGAGTACTCAACCATTACCATTTAAAATGTACTGAATTCACTTTGAACATGGGTGAGGGGGCAGAAAGATATTATCAACTTGGTAGTTCTCATGTTTTAGTAAAAGATTCTACTTGTAGCTCTCAGTGCTCATTCCTACCATATTTAGCTCCACGGTGACACTGATAAATGATAAAAAGATGAATGAAATGTTTGGTAAAATATTTGCATCGTTGTTTTGAGGATGAAAACATTCAATCTAGCAGAGATTTGTCCTACTATGTAAACACGCTGAGGTGTAATTTTGCTTTCATCCCAAAGTGGCACTACTCTTTGAACAAAACCATTAAGGGACTCCTTTTCAGGGGCACCTGGGTGGTTCAGTAGGTTGAGCGTCCGACTTCGGCTCAGGTCATGATCTCACCACTTGTAAGTTCAAGCCCCGCATCGGGCTCTGTGCTGACAGCTCAGAGCCTGGAGCCTCTTCAGAGTCTGTGTTTTTCTCTTTGCCCCTCCCCTGCTCATACTCTGTCTCTCAAAAAAATAAATAAATAAACATTAAAAAAAAATAATAAAAAAAAAAAGAGACTCCTTTTCAAAGCAAAGTTAACTAGAAACTAGCCGCACAATGTGGAAGAGATGCTAAATACATTAATGCCACAATAATTTTTTCAAATAATGAAATGTAAGCTCCATATGCAATTTTTTTTTTTTTTAATTTTTTTTTTTCAACGTTTTTTTATTTATTTATGGGACAGACAGAGACAGAGCATGAACGGGGGAGGGGCAGAGAGAGAGGGAGACACAGAATCGGAAACAGGCTCCAGGCTCCGAGCCATCAGCCCAGAGCCCGACGCGGGGCTCGAACTCACGGACCGTGAGATCGTGACCTGGCTGAAGTCGGACGCTTAACCGACTGCGCCACCCAGGCGCCCCTCCATATGCAATTTTTAATATAAAAGTAAATGTGCTAAAATTATAGGCATGAACATCATAGTATCTAACTTTCAAAGTGTGAAAGTAATCAGTACATGCTATAATTAAGTTTTGGCTTCCTTTTAAGGAAAAATAACTCATCAAATTTGATGCAATTTTAATATTAATCAATTTATCAATTTACACAGTATGTTACTCAACACTTAACTCAAATACCACCCTATGCCTTATTATTCTCCACTCTCCAAATCCATAAACAGTTTAAAAAATCAGCTAAGGAACCAAAATCTGAAATGACTTAAAAAGTTCACAACCACCAAGGACCTAATCTCTCAAAAAATAATACATATTTGTATGATGCTTTGCAAATGTGTAATTTCCTATTTCCTTAGTTTATACTTCCATTATGCAGAAAGATGCAAAGACCTAACTCCAAACCATTTTCTTCCTTATACTGTAATACAGAATTGCAAATTTATTAAAGTGTATTATCATCCTAGTTTGTACTTTCTTTTATGACTATGTGGAAATTA